CAGCTGGATAAAGTATTTTCTCCTAATTTTAGAACAAATAATCTGCTTTTTTTATTAAATATGGCTTTATAAATATAACTATTTGTGCAACAATAGGGATTTAACTTCTTTTGGAATTAGACCCCTTTTTCTTTTGATTTTATATAGATTTTACATAGATTTATTAATATATATAGATTTTATACTATATTGTATATAGATTGATTTTATATTATATATATATATATATAGAGCTGCAACTATATTTCAATATGTTCTTAAAATGTTCAGTCCATAACCAAAAAGTTAATGAATTCAGAAGTAACAATATCTAATATTTTTATATTTTTAGATATAACTGTTTTTGCATATATGTATAAGCTGCATAATTAAGAAGATATTAATATAAGCAAAGAAACAAATTATCAGATTGCTGCACGTTAAAAAATCGTAGATCCGTTTGTTAAGATAAAATATATAATATTTCAAAGATAATATTTTGATTCACAGCTTTTACCTGCAGTTCAATTCCATAATTTTTTACAGTTTCGAACCGTTTGTCTGGCTTTCTTAGTCGCACCGCTACACTAAGCGCTTTCAGTTTCGATTCTGCGATCTGCAAATACCCTACGCAACAAACAACAAATAATTATTACAACAAAAAGCTATCAGAGATATTCTTCAAGTTATTAATTTTTATAGACAAACTTTACTTAGTTTCTTTTTAACTACTATTTTTTAATTTAATTTTGTAACAATCTTTTCTATTATACACAAAAATAAGAATTACCTGTTTCTTTAACACTTTCTCTCCAACCGTCTGTCTGTTGAAGAAATCCCATGAAATGTTCGTCCCGCGAAAGTATAGGGTGTGAAGCAACTCTTATAAGAAAATTCTGTATACAGAAACATTTTTTTTATTTTTCCAGTACAACATTTTTGTATGTTATAATTACAAATTAAAAACGTACCTCGAGTCCAGCTCTCCTCCGGTCAACAAAGTCGGGGTCGAATGTATCAGTCGTTACTTTTTGCCAAGCGTAGAGAACTTTCTTTTCTGGTAACGGTGGTAAAACGATGTACGGATAAGAAATCTCCAGATAAGCACGGAGCAATTCAAACTCGGTGTATCGCCGCCATAACGAGCTTATCCTAGTGAGCGCGTTTTTGAAATCGGGATCAGTGACTCTGTAAAAAAAAAAGAATGGAATTATATGAATAACGAAAGTCTTTCAGGCAACAGTATTTTCTAAATAAGACCATATAGTTTGAAATAAATACTCGTATACTTTGAAAACAAAAACTTGTATTACTTTAAAATAAATAAATTAACTTTGTCATACACATTATGTTACACGATTCATATTTTTACTTCCTTACTCACTTAGTTTCAATGAGGTATACTGTGTAGAATTCTCTTAAATTAAGTGCTCTATTTGCTCTCTTCTCAGCTTCAACTATTGAGATCTCCATGTGGTCGAGCAGGCAGTCCTGAAATATATTCGCAGGCATTCAACAGTCTTTTTTCAACATTCGCGCAAGTTTTGAGAGAGATACAACTGTTTCCGTCATCCATCTGTTTCCTTATCGGCTATGCAAGATTGTCACGGTTTTTATGAAGCAAACATTAGTATGCAACAGCTGTATATTCACAAACTTATACAATGTACGAAAGTATCCCCAATATACAGAGGTATTGAGGATCGAGGAAAGAGTTGAACACAAGTCACTGACATCAATCGAGGGACGCTACGCAGTGTTCTGATGATCGCTGCGTGACGTCCATTCGCCTGTTCTCGCCGATTTCATTAAAATTAGATAGTTTAATTTAAGCGTCTTTAAATCTGTCTAATCCAGCGAGCGCTCGTTCGGGAGGCTCTTTTCGAAATTTCATAGTCGCGTAACTATGCGGCGACGAGCCGAAGCATCGGGACTCCGAAAAGGCGTACCGCGATGGGAGAACGACTTATCGATTTGCCACAGACGAATGCGTGTGAAAAACAAGCTAGCTCTTTACCTCTTTCCGCGTCTCCATTGCGGTCATATTGGCGTTAGCCTCCCTCTGATAATTGCCGTTTTGAAAGACCTCTTCCATGATTTGCGTCGCCTGTAATTACCTACGGGCCCAGCCAGCAGGACTCCAATTTTAATCTTTCACATCACGTTGGATCGCCCGACGTCAACCTACTGCCACCATTGGTTGTATCGATACTGTCGGACTGTCGCTCGCGCCGCAGCTAGGTACAGTCCGCAGAGCTATAAGACAACATGCTGCTGCGCACAATCACGGCAGGCAGTCCGACATTCCGACCGAGAAGGCGAGAACCGGTCCCAGTCATCCCAGATACTCATGTTTACTCATGTTGCAACACAAATTCAGTACCGTAAGAATACGCGCGGTCTTTAAAATTCGTAGAATTGCAGGAAACATCAAAATTAATGATATCAAGAGGCATTTATCTCTATACGATTTTATGATTCCAGGATTGGATAAGTTAATTTTCTCTAATTAACAAGAAGAGAATCAGGTGAACTCATCACAGATTTTGATCTTCTTTAGTATGATGAATTCATATACTTAAAAAATAAATATGTATCATATTTGAGCATTTTGTTGAAGGAGCCTTGTACGTAGTATTTTTTTAATGTATGAAAGGACATTGAACAAATTATGTCGTAAATTGAATCTATAAATTGAACACATATTTTGAAATGAGCTAGTTTTTACATATAATGTAGCTTTCCGGTAAAAAGTTTTTCATATATAATCATAGATCGCTATACAAAATTATATTAAAATATATATAACATAATGTATAATCCATTATGTAATTATATCCCACGTAACACGTAATATCATAGTAATATCACAGCAATATTACAATGTTTACGAAAATAAATCACAGGAATATTACTGAGATATATCACAAAAATATCACTATAATATTGTGTAATATTTTTGTGATATTTATGTAATGTTTATATTTATGTAACACTTATTGGGAAAAATTAAAACGTTTTAAAGGGAATTTTTAAAAGAATTTATTAAATTGATATTTTCAATGTTATTTTTTAAATTATTCCATATGATATTAATTAGAAAATAATACTGATTGTCAATACAATAACTATTATACAATATTATAATAAACTGAAAAAGTTATAATAAACTAAATATCACTCGTAAAATTATGTGTGTACATATAATTTTGTGATAATAACGTCTTAATGACATCTCTAGCGTCAATAAAACATCATAAAAAGTTATTAATAATGTCATTTTGCTACTTGAAACGTTATATTGTCACAAAATTGCTGTGATATTACATTGTACTACGTAATAATTCTGGTATATTGCAATATTACTGCGATTTTACTTGCTATGTGAGATGCAATTATGTATAATGCTGTTATAATTCATATATAATTATATGTACATAAATTCTTCACACATTATGTGTATTTATATAGTATCTTCATTATAGTACATGAATCTACACAACGATTTATATACATTTTTATACATATTTATATGTGATTTATTGTAATTTACGTATAAATTTATATAATTATATACAAAGTATCCAGTCAAATAATATGCTATATACGTATGATTATACAGTATAAGAGATAAATATGCAGCTTGAATACAACATTTATTTTCGATGTAGATAATATCATAATGATAGATAATTCATAATGATATTAAAGAAGAGAGAGAGATCGAAATTCGTGAATAGTTTACTGTGTCTTCTCCTTGTAGATTAAATTAAATTAGTTGACATATAAAATTAACTTAGAGTCTTAACACAACTCTTATTGTCGTCTCTTTATAGCGACACAATAAGTTGCATCTACACAATGTATGCCAAAGCTTGTGTGTTATCGCTTATGTCTACAATTTAAATCTAATTTATGTTGCAACAATTCTTGTGCTCAGACCATTACAATGAGAGCTGCATGAACAAAAAGCTAACTTTAAAATAACAGACAAATTTTGGGCAAATGGGGGTATAAACGTATAAATTGTAACGTAATATTCTTGTCTGTTATTTTACATCGAAAGCTTTTACGAAGTTTTACTTCTGTTTAGCAGATAACTTTAAGTTGAAAGTAATGTGAAATTAAACTAAATTAAATTAGATTTATTTTAAAAAGAATTTATATTAAATTAAAATGATTTTACGGGAAAGAATCCTTTTATAAGTCGGCAAAAACACTTTTTTAGCAACCCATATATTCTATTTAAAAAAAAAGAGCAATTACATCACTTGATAGAGCAACGTTTTAGCTTTAAGAATCTGTATTTTTAATTGCGATATGCTGATTTTTCACGGAGTTACGAACAATAAAGTCAGAATGTTTCTTTTTACTTAATTCGCGAGTAACTCAGGATTAAAAAATCGTAGAAACATTTTTAAAAAACGATTTTGTAGAGAAAGCTTCAAGCTTTCACGAGGATAGTTAAAAATTTGCTTAAATTTTTTGGGCACGCTACAGATCTATAAAGTGAAAAGAAAATTTTTCATTTTTTTTTTAGCTCGTAGTTTTCTATATATGTATAAATATTACAAAACTCGCATAAATTCAAAAAATATACTGACCATTCGAAAGTAGAGATTTCAAGCTTTGGAACCTTTTTTTAAATTTAAATTTTGATCATTTTTAACGAAGATATTAATAGGAAAATGTCTTTTTATTAACTTGTAAAAGGACTTTTTCCCTAACTGAAATTATATGGAAATGTTCTTCGACAATTTTGCGTATAACGTGAGATATATGTATAATATTAGAGCAGAATGAAGTAAAAAAGATTCTACGAAGTAAATTAGCTACGCTGATGTTGAATACGCTTTTCTCTATATAGAGAAATCTTTGCCGACGAGTAGTCATCATGCAGCAATTTTTCATTGCGCTCTTCTTGACATTGCAGTTGCATATGGAAAAGATGAAGAAGACATTAGTAATAAAAAAATTTTATTACATTTTTTATACGTTGCATTAATTATATTTTTCGTTGCTGTTATGCTCATATCAAAAAATTGTGATAAATAAGATTAGAACAATCAAAGGCAGAAGTATTAAACGAGATATTAAATATTACAGTCGTTTTTTGTTTTTGTTTTGTTGTTGTTGTGTTGTTGTGGAATGAACTTAAAATGTGTATTGTACACATCGGATGATTTCTTCGTTTATATTATATACGCGTATATAGAATACATTAGATGGGAGAATATAGGCCTTATTTACTAAATGAGTGTGCATATTTACATAATGGAAGATATAACGCGACGATAAAACAACGATGACAGTTATATTAAACTGCACAAGATGCGAAAAGATATTTACATATTGACTTTTCGAAAAATAATACAACAAATAAAGAAATCAACTGGTTTTATGTAACTAGAAAGATTAAACAATATTTTTTGGTTTGTCATCTTGCATTGTTTTCCGGGGTAGAATAGCAACCAAAAATGCAGACACTGTAAAGTAATTAGAAATGGTGAAAAAACATTTTTATAATGGATGGGGAACCTTAAACAAAACTATGGAACAGATAGAAAACTGAAAGGGAAAAAAATGTGTTTTCTTAACATACAATTATTTTATCTTATTATTCTGTGCATAAAAGTATTGAGATACGATTGTCAAAATATTAATAGTTTACGAGATATTTCTTATTTCATTTCAACATGTGTCAGAATAAAATGTAAAATATTTTGTAACTTATTTATTGATTTTTTTATATAAATCCCTATCTTAATATTTTGTATACAGAATAATTAGAGAAACTATTATATGTATATCGCGTAAAAACTTATGATTCTAGTTTACAAAATGTCCATGATTGTTATATGACCATAAAAAATTGATTTCTTTCGAAAATTAATTTTATCATTACTGTTCTCCTTCAAACCATATAACTTTTGTCTAAAATATGTTACCATTTCTACCTAACATGTTGAATTTTTGACATATATGGTACATATGTTGTTTGTTTTAGCCGTTTTAGATGCCCCGCGATATACATAAAATATATATTATATTCAATGTAAAAATATAAATGCTATTCAATATGCAAATATTGTTTTTACCTAAAGAGGCTAAACCGATCATGACGTACGGTCCTAAACACGATAGATTGAATAAAATCGGAAATAATAGATTCCCGATTACTGCGCCAATTCTTCCCATCATCATGGTTATACTAACCGCCATGGTTCTGGAATAAGAAAGAAATATGGATGTATCAAATAGATGACTAATACGGTAAAGATAATGAAAAATAATGCCATATAAATATTTTTTTTAATACAATAAAATCGAGCGCTGAGAGCAAAATTGCGGTAATTAGTGCAAAAAATATAAGATTTTTTATTTAAGTAAAACTATATGAACTATATAAACTATATAACTATATAATCGGACCACTGAAGATGGCTCGAAAGTAAACCGAAACGTCTGATGTTTTTATATAGTTTTACTTGAATAAAAATTCTTACATTTTTTGCATTAATTACCGCAATTTTGACTCTCAGCGCCCGATTTTATTATATTGATTTTTTCGAGAGTTCGATTTAAAGGAAATATTTTTTTAATTAATATATTATTATTAATATATATAATTAATGATAAGTTAATTGCCATACCTTAGATATGTAGGAAAATTATCGACAATGATATTAACAACGGTTGCCCCGCCTATACTCGTCATGGCAACAAATACCGAAGACAATCCGAGGATACCATTAGTATCTTCAGTCCAGTACAATGAACCACAACAAGTAGCAGCGACAATGAAGCAAATTGCTGCAGAAAAGAGATTAAAGTTAATTATCATTAACGGAAACGGGTATAATGCGATTGTTTCTGTCAATGTAGATTAACTTTACCTTTTCTTAGAGATTAGAAAAAGATATAAAGAGTAAATTAAATTGAGATTAAAGTTAATCTACATTGGTAGAGATGGACATAAGACAACTGACAGAACCCTGTACAAATCTTATAGAAAATGAGTTTCAGTCAAATTGCTTTAAATTTTAATATTTTGTAGCTCATGTCAAGTTGATTAGAATTCTTTACGGGGATAAAGTGTGACTCAAAAGTATCGTAAAAGTCTTTACGGGTATCAGTTTTTGCTCCAGGACCTTTGAAAAGTCTTTATATTTTGTATGAAAAATTACAGAAAATTGAAAGAAATCTTTTTTATTACACTTGTACATTTATCAATGGTATGTTTATGATTTTAGTTTTGCACCCGTTCTCATTGTTAGAATTACCCGGAACGAACGATGTGGATGTGACATTCCTTTGAGATGCTTGACTTTCATGAGTTTCCTTGCCTTTTTGGGAATATGCTTCATGGAATTAGAAAATAAAATAAAGCTTTTTCTCAGGATGTTTTATACCATAATATTTTTCAAAATATTGAAAAATTTATACTGCATATACAGTATATCCATGATGTATTATACGGTATTCATAACTAATGTTAATAAAAAAGATTTATTTTGATTATTAAGATCTATTTTTCCATATAAAATGTGATGATTTTTCGAAGGTCCTGGAATAAAAACAAAGACATTTTTTGCCTATAACTCGTGAGGATTTTTAATTAACTTGAATTGAGTTATAAAATATTAAAGTTTGAAGTAATTTGATCGAAACCCATTTTCCATAAGATTTGTACAGGGTTGCTTGAACTTCTACATCCATAGTTTTGATTTTGCTACTTTCAATTTCCATTTGTTTGGATCATTAAAAGAACCCTTGCTCGTAGCAGGCGGTATTCCAGTTATTGTACAAATTTTACTTGGGTATTGTAAAATTTAGGAAGTGGTATACATATATGTGGCGTAAAAGACAGATAAAAATTCTTTATGCAGACTTGTGGACCGTTACACAAAATGTGTTGCAAAGCTGATTGTATTGAGAAATAATGATTTTATTGTTATTTATTATATATAAAGAATAAATATATAGCACTTGACACAACAACATTTCTAATTTCCCCTTGCTTGATTTTAAGTAAATGTCTATTTCTTTAACATCAAATTACTTACCCATTAACTTCCTCTTTCCAACCACAGTTATCAGAGAACCGGCTACAGTATAACCGATAACACCTGTCACGGCGATGACAATGGAATTGATAAAGACTCTGGAATTCAACTCGACCTAAAATTGTTATGTACATTATTTCTATGGGATTTGTTTCGCGGCCAACATTTATAAATTAGCGATTTACCGGAACGCATACAGTCGTAGAATTGCCTATCGTATTGTTGGCATAATGCATGGACTTAAGATACGACTCTTCCTGACCTAACATGTAACAAAATGAAGGCTGCAATCCTGATATGTGGTTATCGTCCTTCATCACAGTATTTTTATAATTTTCAATCATTGCGAACAGCTGGGGCATCCAAAGTCGAAGCGAATTCGATCTGCACAGTTGCAATCGGCATCAAACGAACTCTTCAAGTTCCATTTATTTTAGTGACTCCATTTTTTTAGAATTAAAATTAAAATAGACGAAGGATTAAACTGACCCTATTGTTGCTCCAAGCTGTATCATTGATATGAGTATCAATCTGAAGACATTGGGTCGCAAAAAGAGTGGCTTTATCAGTTTGCAACAATTCTTCAGCTTGTCCTGTATACGTTCTCCGCATGATTCAATGGAATATTCATCCTCTAGACTTTTTATCTATATAAATTGATAATAATACACTATATTATACCATATTCAGCCTTTAACAAAAAATATTAGATACCTATATTTTTTTCATTTATCTAAAATTCTTTCATCTGTATTGTTCCCAGTTATTGGTTATCAGGATTATACACAAATTTAAAAGTTATCCTTTGTTTCTTAAAACAAAGGATAATACACACCAAATGTCGTCAATTAATTTTTAAGCTAAAACGTTATATGATAATTAATAAGGTGCTTAGTATTTTTGGTCAAGGCTGGCTGTATATATCATTCTTATCACGCTGATTCTTTCTTTAATTAATTTTACAGTCGCTCGATTCGAATCTCATTTCTCACTTTCAGTTTTATTACGCGTTTTCTTTATATACGGATCCTCGTAAGAAAAATGACACAAGTACAAAATGTAAAATTGTTTAGGAGAGAGAGGAAAGAAAATTACGTATTTTAAAATTAATTACTTGCTTCCCTCTCTTTTTAAATTGTTTTCTATTTTTTAGTTCAACTTATATCACTATTCTATATTCTACTTTGAAAGAAGGCCGATGTATTTAGGACACAATCCGCACAAAACGATAAGAAATTTAAAAAAATTTGCTTTGTGCCATTTTTCTTGCGGGGATGCAATATATTCTTTTGTTTACTGTCATATCAACATTGAGAAAAAAATTTATTAAATTTTAATAAATATTTCTTTGAAAACTTGTAGCGGAATATTTGCTTACAGTAAATAAATATTTAGATAAATGAAGAAGATGATAATTAAATCACAAACTAACGGTTCCCCTGTACCTAATAAATATGTGTTTATATACACACACACATATATATATATATATATATATATATATATATATTCAATAAATATCCCAGTCGCTAGGACTATTCAAAGAAATATTTATAAAATTTAGTAAATTTTTTTCTCACAAGTAACACAAGGGAAGTGATAATCACCGATTATTCTGTAACTGCGCATATAAGTAGTTCCTTAGAAACTATTT